GCATAACAAAGCTAAATGACATGCTACAGATACGTCATATCGAGCCTCGAGAAGAGGCACGATTATGGGTAAAGACGAAGGACTAGTTCTATATACAGGTAAATCTAAAATCCTAAGGAGAATACCTCGGGGAATGAGGTCGAGACGAGGAGACTTATTAGCGCGTGAAGACTCGGGATCTTCAGCCAAGACACCCGATATCCATGCTTGTCTATAAGCATCTTGATCGATGCCGAAAGATGATACATCTGAGTGAGAATGCGGAGACTGGTTGGCCGGTTTGAAACCGACTACTTGTACTGAATCAGATGATTGAGCGCCCGCGTCGATCAAACGCTCGATAGTATCGGGCGAAGAGTCAGAGTCAGAATCTAGACAAACGAAAAAGAAGAGTCGAGATCAGTAAAGGCGAAGTTAGTACAGAGCGAAGAAGGGCCTAACCGATGAATAAGTCGACTTATGCAAATCGACAAAAGGGATGACCATGAAAGAATGGTTTCGAAGCAAAGGAGGCAGTGAAAATACGCCACTCGTCCGAATAGCGATGAATGAGCAAGAGCAAGGAAGGTCAAGAAGGACCAAGCCTAAATCAACCCAAGGGGCGCAAATCGATTTGGTACTAAAAGTCGACAGAAGACAAGATTGGAATAAACAAGAAATCTAAGGGGGATACCAGTAAAAAAGAGATCTAAGCCCGAAACTCATGGGAAATTCATGAAGAATATGAAGAACATACATGAACTCCGAAAGTTCTGGGAATCCAAAAAAAAAATCAGAAAAGGAAAAAATCAATAGAGAATTAAAAGTTAAAAGGAGATAGAGAACTTACACATGATGGCGTGGTTGGTTTGAACTGCGAGTAAGCCTGAAGTTGCCGGAGAAAGAAGCGCCGGAAAGCAGAGAGCACAAAAGGCACCGGAGAGTTAGAAGCAATTGGAAGTTCGGAGAAGTTGAAAGCGTAAAAAACCATCTGAGGCAAACACGCAACATATTTACATGTAGAGACAACGGAGGCAGGTCGTTGGATCAGTATGGAACCAACGATCCAGATGAAGCGCAGAATGCGAGGAGTCGGCGATGGAGATGACGCGCGTTGCTTTAGGGTTTTCAAAATTCGAAATTTGAAAAGGGTCTGACAGAATGTCAGACTTATCCGAAAGAGCAATCATGAGAAGTTGAGATGTTTCTAGATCAACTGACGAGGACGAGTTGTCAAAGAAGACGAGGACGAGCAAGCATCACAGGAAGACAACATCACTACACATCACCAAATTTACTCTTAAGCAGTCGACTGCTTAGAGTAATTTTTGAAGGGGGACTAGATGATATAGCCACACAAGGATAACCCGGTCCAGAGGTTCTTTACTCGACCGGTAAACCATTCAAGCAACTCGCATGACGACATAACTCTGTCGACATGTTCAGGTCGACCTCCATAAAGTCGATCTTACTAAGAGCAATCAAGAAGGGGCAGAAACTAGCCTAGTCGACTCTCGCAAGTCGACCCTAGTCTGTCGACTTTCATTAACCGATATCAATGGAAGAAGAACATCAAGAGCGTAACTCCTAAGAGTCCAGATAATCTAGGTCGACTTCCACTAGTCGACTTAGCGATGACGACTCTCTGAAGACGACTTCACCACAGAGGGTTAAACCAAGCGTAGCCTCCGAAACCGCTCATATTCATAAGTTAACCCCTTAGCTCTCGAGGTCGACTCTGTACATCTCGAGGATCAAAGTGGTGAGGACGATTCGCCACACTTGTAACATATCCGAAGTCTTACACATGATAAGAAGGAATCTTGTGATGACTCAGCGTCAAGGGGAGACGAACCGACCAGGGCATTTTGGACCTTCTAGGTCCACCGACTTCGGCATTTTGGGCACTTCAGGTAAGTATTCACTCCTATATAAAGGAGGTGAGGTAACCTCAAACCCTAACTCTCATTCATTCTCACTCTCCCCCATAGCTGCTGCACAGCCTCTCTTCATCACTCACATACTGACTTGAGCGTCGGAGGCTCTACGCCGAAAACACCTCCGGCGTTGAGTTTTTGCAAGTATTCTCGCGGTCTAGCAACGGTTCGAAGGCGATTCAAACAGATCTAAGCTCTTTATCACCGGTTCTCTTCAGATCTCGAAGTAGACCCATCACAATCGAAATAAAAAAAATTAATTGGACTCAAAATACACATTTTTACTAAGTGTAGTTGCTAGTCTTGGAAGTAGTTTCTCTAGTCTGGAAGTAGGTCATAAAAAAAATCATATAACTGATGATATATAATCATAATATGGGATATATAATCATAATATGGAAAGGAGAAATCAAATAACATGTAAAAGTCACTAGTTGACCGTTGGCTATGCACGCACAATTATAACTAAAATTTGGCAAAATTTTAAAATACACATACCCACCTTTTATGACACTTATAAGTTTCAAATAACTTAACAACAATGCATAAGGAATTAAACAATGCACTAATATAATAACATATCTACCAATTTTCAAAAGCATTAATAGAATTTTTTTCGTTTGAACACAATATTTGAGAAGCTGCGTTGAAAAGTAAAGGATTAATATATACTTAACAATGTACCCAAAAATGAATAAATTTAGACCATGTGCTTAGAAATGACTTCTTTTTTTCGATCCTCGACCGTTGTGCTTTGCTTGTTGTGCCGTCGTGGTTCACCTTGCAAACATTTATATGTTGAAATTTATTCCCTTGTGCGCTTAATGATGGTGTACTGGGGTGGAATTTCTCGGCAATCTTTGGGACGACGCCGACAAAAGTGTAAAAATATTAACCCTTGCGTATATATATATATATATATATATATATATATATGAGCACAAAGAAAGAACCTGATGCTGGGTTGAAAAGGCCGGGTGCAGAGGAATACGTCGTCGTAGTTTCCTGCTCCGTAGAAACTATGGAGGAGCTTAAGAAAAATGTTTTATTCGAAGTCGCAGTAGGTTGAGGTAGGGATGGTTTGGATTCGATCGTGACATCATTGTGTCGTATGTTTCCATCATTTCTGGTCCAACTGTACCCTGGAAACTAATAGTATTGCATTACATTCAATTGCTTTTTTAAGTAGATGATACCCTTATAGCCAGTTCAACCTACAAATTTATGCAAATTTATACAACAGCTAAAATTCAAAAACTTAAAACAGTTAGAATATGGACAGACCTCGTGCCAAGAAGAATATTGGAAACACATGATTAACATATATGACTAAGGTAACATATTGTTTTCTGGTGAATCATTAGAAAGTGAGATTCTAAAGTCATAATGCATATTAACCTGGATAAAAGAGTTATGATGCATAACAACAATATTTTTATCACTAAAGTAAGCATTGAGAGAAGGTGAAAAGGAAAAGAGAAAAAGAAAAAAGAAGCTCATATATCCCTATTCCCTACCCATTTTCTTTATCAAAAACCAGTAAATTTGGCGAAGGGGTACCAAAGATATAGAAGTCAGAAACTATTCCCCAGAGAAGAAAGGAAAAAAAGAAAAGGAAAAAGAGCAAGAAATAAGGGTGTAAAAGGACAATAGAAAATGACAAACTCGACGACCATGCACATAGAAAAGTATAACATTTATAGTCAACAAAGACTTAATCTGAATACCAGGGCTGTGTTACTCAACCAGGGAAGTAAGAAAATGAAAGGCTAAAAGTCTAAGTTAAGTTTCTAAGCATGTACAAGTGTAAAAGAAGAAGAACCACGAGAAAATAAAGCCATGGAGGAAGTACATTTGACAAATAGAATTGCAACTTTCAACAGCAACTACTTTCCCTGAGCTTACTAATCGCAGTTAAACCCCTCATCCTGTACCAAATACAGGATCTACAGATCAACCTCTGTCTTCATTTCATAACTTTTGGCAGAATCTATTATTGAGCAACCATAAACATTTCCTAATCCCCAAAAAATTCCTGAATAAGAAGACTGCCGGCCAACACAGCCAACAGATGTCACAACTCTTGCACCAATAAACATATTAGTTGACACAAGTGAAAAAATATAGCTATTCTCATAATTTCAAGTAGCTATGTTTTTTGTGGGTCTGACTATCAACAATAAACATATTAGTAAGCCTTTTGAGGATGAAAATATTATGTATTCTGATTTAAAATCATACTCAAGAATGTGGCTGCATAAACACACAAATTTTCCCAAACATAAAATCAAACAACAAAAATAGAAATAAAAATAATAACCGAAAACATTCAATAAAAAATGCGCACCATGCAATGCATTGTGCAAATTCTCATTCATAACAAAAGTCGAAAACAACAATTTCTACTCTTGACTATTTTTTAAAGAAAGATATCACAAACCAGATATCTTTGAATGCTCAATATGAAATGACCATTAGTTAAACATTATTATGCCAGCTAAACTTGTATGTTAGAGAAAGAAAGAAGCAGCAGAACAAACCCAACTAAGAGAAAGAAAGAACTCCAAAAATTTTTTTTTTAAAAAAAAAAACAAAATGGAAAAAAGCGAGATTAAAGAAAGGCGCCGGCATACAAATGTGCAGTTATTAGTTTGATCGAAGTTATATTTATTTTACTTTTCAGTTCATATGGAAAGGATTAAGAAAATAAACACATTACTTAGTCGGCCTAAGCAGAAAGAAACAAATTTTCCATCAAGAAAAAATATTTAAATTGCAACACTTTGCAGTTAGTTGAGAAATAACTAATGCTCTTCTAAATTAATTCGTTGTTTGCCATGATAATTGATTTCCAAATCCCAATATTCAGAAATTACAACAAAATACAGCTAATCCCATACAAACAAATGAACCAAAATCTAAAGAAATTTATATAATAATATAAAAACATATGCTTACAGGGATGAAGCAGACGAAGAGGCAGTTAAGAACTGTGTCTGGTTTAACGTGATCACGTCTGATATCCTTTGAGAATTAGCTAACAATTACCCTTCCCTGCATTTGTTCACACAAAATCTAACAAGGCTAAAAGCTGCCTTCTCGGCCTGCAATACCAGAATCAATGTTACCAGTCAGATGCCAATGACAAGCTTGACAAACCTACTATATTGTTTGCAGATAAAGATGCCCTCAATTTGGACATGTGAAAGGATCTGAATGACTTTATTTGATAGGACTCATGATTCATTATACAAAATATGTATTAAATGAAAGTAGGTATGTACAATGAATCATTGTGACAAGAGAATGTTTATTGCCTTATATTATAAAATTCGAGACATTTTTTTTATTATTTTTATATGGATATTTTCAACCTTATTTATTTGTATAAGTTTTATGCATTAAGTGATTCAGAAAAAACATATAACATTTGCTTTAGGACACGTTTTTTCATAAAAATCATTCAACACATTTTGTACTTTATACATGGTAATTATATTGATTGACATCAAAACAATGCTTTATGAAGAAAATTATTGCATCTGCAATATTGTCTAATTTGTAAATTAAACATAGGAGAACTCCCTTCGTATTAGAATTATAAAAGAACAAGAATAAAATAATATGGGTAAGAGATATTAATATAAGAGAGCCATTTTGTAATTATTGCAATAAGCTAACCACATATGAAAGATGATAAAATCTCATAGTAGACACAGGAAATGACTGTAGTCAACCCAACCTTTATAGTGGTATAGTAACTATGGAGCTTTTCAATATACTATGAGTCCGAACAATCCTGCAAAATGGTTTCCCGTCATACATATATTTGCAAATTACCAAGCATCAAAATTAAATATAGCAGTTTCCAATAGATTAGGTAATAAATATACAGTTTAAGTAGAAGTAGGATGCTCGCCCAATACATTTAACATTATTTAAAAAGAGGAAAAAGAACACCTAAGGTGGGTTATGCCCAAGGCAGCTCATATGTTCATTTGTATCCACTCAATATCTCATTTTCGAGAATTCGGCTCCATACTTTTCATCAACATGTTAATAGATCTACAGAGCCAAAAAAACATTTATAAGAAAATAATAACTACAAACCCAAGAAAACACTAATTTGTATAATGAGACTTCTAAAAGATAATGAAGACCATTAGTCACTGAAAAGTGCAAAAGTCCTATGGCCGTAGTTCACAAAAGGTTAAAATAGGAGCATGAAACACAACCACTACGATACTTTCCAAAAAAAATATCATACTCACATTAGCCATTGGGTTTAAATATTTTAAATCAGTTTAAGTAAAACAATTTAAACTAAAAAACTGTCTGGGGCTGTAAATGTCGAAGTCTGCAAGAAGGTCCAAAAAGAGAAGATCCCAGACCATTATTAAATGACATAGACCATTATTAAATGACATGGATCCTTCATCTCTAAGCACATTCATATAAACAGACCACTTTCTAATCTAAATGATTAAAATGGGTAACTGGTAAATTAGAAAGATAGTTGTACATCTATCGTTGTTTTGTATCTGACACTCAGACATATGAATTGGAGAAGGGTATTCGTATTTCAATCGAGAGAAAAATGAGGTTTTGTCTTTTAGATAGAAAATCAAGTGAGAAAGATGGCCAAAATTGAAAAAATGAACATGCCATTCCAGATTTTCGAGCAAGAAACTGTCTAATCACTGTGCCTGAAAATAAGGGGAGCAGGAAAGACCAACTTTTTTAAAAGGGGGCCAGAAATTGTCTAATCACTATGCCTGAAAATAAGGGGAGCAGGAAAGACCGACTTTTTCAAAATGGCATTTGTGTAATTACATAAACTGTGATATGAGCAGGGACATCATTTGCAAAAAGAGTGGATATTCAGGGGTATTTTGGTCCAAAAAAATCGCCACGTGTCAGGCTCCTAATCCTTCACACTTTTGCTTATATGTATAGGAAAGATATAAAATCTCATGATCCAATTTATACACAAAATCAATATTAACTGAACATACGATATATCTCTTCTTTTTGAACTCGTGACCTATTGGTCTCAAGTGGATATATCACTTATTTGAACGTTCAGATTGTTGTGCGGTTTAATTATGTATTTGAACGTTCAAGGCCAAAACACATATTCTTACATAGTTGCAGGACAAATTTTGCAAAAATACCAACATGCGTAGAAAAAAGAGAAGAAAAAAACAAAACAAAGAGAACACATACCCTATTAATCATCTTCTCGAATGCCTCGGACCCATTTTCCTGTATGTGTTTTTCTGCAGCCGTTAGAATGTCATCTGGCTTGCTGAAAATATCCTTCTTCTTAGGGACGTACCAAATATTCAGAGACTTTTGTCGAGTGACCAAATAAGGCCTAACATATTGCTCGTAAACATAAGCAGCCTCACTGATGTACGGTATGACTAACCAGCAGGTGATTATTAGCTTTGCATACGACCAGAAAGGTAACCTAGGATATGAACACATTGCACATGATTAAATAACACATTTAACTTGTGATGAAGATGAAAAATGAACAGAGAATGTCCTTTTGGAACATATTTTTCTGCTTCTTATTTCATTTTCTTTGTTCCGTATTTTCGAATAGCAAGGAAAGAAAACAAATGATGTGCAAGCTGGACAAAGCAAATACAACCGATACTCGATAATGACACATCAATAGGTTTGTTGTCCCCAATATATTAGTAATATAAATCTTTTCATTATCACTATCTTGTTAATATCTTAAACAAAAATAGTCCGTAAAATATAATTTATTTTGTGTTTTATATCCTAGAGACAAGTCCAGCTTCAATTTTTTTCGGAAACGTTCTCCAGATTTCATCTCATATAAAGCTTTCGTTTCCAAGAACTTCAACTCCAAGAAAAAAAAAAGAAAATAAATATACAGGATTTTCTCAAGAATAACTTAAATATAAACCACTAAACCACCACAGTACATACAAAAAAGGTACAATAACACCAATATAACAGCAATTTAATCAAGCCCAATAGTCAACAGAATCAGCAAATAGATGTCTAAGACCTATATAGGCCTTGTTTGGTAATAAGCGTTTTGGGGTTAAATTAGAAGTTTGAGGTCAATTACAAGTTCTGACAGCACAACCTCTAATTTATTGTTCAGTAAGTAGCAGTTTGAAACGGCCTTTCGGATCCACAAAGCTACTTACGAAAAGGCTAGAAATGCGAGCTTTTGGGATGGAGAATTGTAAAACTAGTTGTTTCTTACATATCAAACAGCTAAGTATTACCAAACTTTTGCATAATCCGCTAATCCAATGAGGTAGTCAACAACTAATTCAATCAGTTATCCACTATCCAAACATGGCCTACGTCTACGCGGATAATTGTTCCAAACAAAAGAAAGAGAACACTTACCATTCATTATGTTTTTGCAAAAGTAAGCTCAAACAAGGTAATCATGAAGTAAAGAACCCAATAAGAAAGCCATTGCTGATCATCAACAGGCGACTTTGTCTCGATTGCCCAAATAGACGCATATCTGCAAATCCTCAAAATCCCACCACCATTAGCCCATATTATCACCAAATCAGTAGACAAACAGATCAAACAAATCACTCTTACAAACAAAATAGTATCTTTTTGCTGAAATACACCTAAATTATAATATAGCAGCTATAGGACTATGAAAAGAAGACAGAATTAAAGAAATAAATCCACTCACAGAGGATAAAAATTTATAGCAGCGAATGTCGGAATTTTGGCGTGAATCGCCGGAGGAGGACAAGCAATCGATGAAAGAAGGCACTAGATACAATTCACTCTCAAGTCTCCAGAGCTCTGAAATGTTTTTCAAACCTTCCCAGAATGAAAATAATGATAAGGTCGGGCGGGCTTGTGACTGAAAAAAGGGGAAAAATAAAAGAAATTGTGTCCAAGGGCAATTAGGTACTTTTGCAAGCTAAAATGGCTATATTTCATTCTTTTTAAAAAGATGGCTAGATTTCATTTTTTTTTTTTTCTTTTGTTTAAAGGCTATAAAGGGGCATTACCACCCTAAAGAATGCAACTAGGGATGTCAATAAAACCCGTAGGGTCGGGTTACCAGCGGGTTACCCGCATTTTCGGGTCGGGTAAACCCGAGATTGTTGGGTTTCGGGTCGTGTTCGGGTAGAATTATGCTACCCGAAACCCGGGTCGGGTCGGGTCGGGTGCGGGTATAGTAGGAAAACCCGTTACCCGACCCGATTACCCTACCCGTTTACCCGCAATCATTAAATCTTATATATATATATATTTACAACTTTATTATAAATATAAAAGTAGTCATGTGTTATTTTTAAAAATTAGATTATCTATTATAATTTTGATTAATGGTTAAATTTTATTTTATTTTTTATGATTCTATTATCAGTTTTTGTTGATTGTACAATAAACAAATAAAATTCATAATTTTTAAATTTTATATTATTATATAGACTATAAAAGATAAATAATTATATCTCATTATTTATTTAAAAAATAATTTAATTTTTTTTATAGTTTTTTATTGTCAAATAGTTAATAAATTATTTGTTACATTATAATTAATTGTGAAATTATTTTATTTTATTTTTTCATATGAAACAAGATGAGTCAGATAAAGTCCAAATTTAAGACACGGACAACCCGTTTACCCGACGAAAACCCATAACCCGCCGGGTAAAACCCAACCCGAACCCGAAGATCACTAGCCGGGTAACGGGTCGGGTTTGGGTAGGGTAAATTATATGCGGGTCAGGTTCGGGTTTGCCAAAACCCGTACCCGACCCGACCCATTTACATCCCTAAATGCAACCTTTACGGGAACATGGCAATACATTCCTTCCAGACCTCGCCTCATATATCAATTGATTCCAACAATTATTTGTTATCAGCAAAAGGAGGCAACCTGCTCTGAAATTCGCATATCCCAACTGCTAGGTGCATAAAATGTTTGCTACTCTGCAATTAATAATGCATCATCATAGATTTAGGCCACTAAATGAAAAGTCGGCCTAACCCAACTCCAGCTCAAGAATTTAGGATAGTTAAGAGAAAACACTATGCATCCCAAAGTATGGGATGCAACAACATAGGGCATGGATAAAGAGGGTCATAAAAGATAACAATTTCCTAATGTGTTGCGCAGATAGACAGGCAGAGAAGATATCATTATCGGCTAAATGTGAAGAGAATTCACTTAAGGTGTGAGTAACCCAACCCAGCGAGAGGTCCTGGAATTAATAATCTAACGTGAGATCATAACATCGTCATAACTGTATATCATTGCTAGCTAGAATCTCTCATAGGAAAAACTGTATCCACTAAACTTGCAATCACTTAAAAAAAAAGAGCGAAACAAAAACAAACGGTAAGCTGTTTTAGAAGCAAAGAAAAATTGATAACTTAAACATAAAGTCAATACAACAAAAGAAACCACAAACAAGGAAGAGTGCTGGAGCAGTCCAACAACAAAGTAAACTAAGGACCATGTAGACATCCACAGCAGATACCATTCAAACAAATGAAAAAACGCAACACTCAAACAAAGAAAGATGCCATAAAATGGCTCTAATTAAATTTCCTCTTAACCGCCGGACATGTGATTGGACCAATGGAGCTCTTAATGTAAGGGAAAACCCGGGCAATTTCTTGATCATCATGGATTCCGAGATTCTCCAAGTCTCTGGTAGCACAATCGTAAAGCAGCAAGTCACCTTTGGAGTCCTGAAAAAACAATTTTTCGTTCTTGTAGAGTCCCAACACCTTACGAGGAGCAGCAGATGCAGGGACATCGAACGTCGACACAAGTAACCAATTACTCTCATTCCTCCACGCCCAAATCTCAAAAGTAAAACAATAATTGTCCTCTTCATCGCAGCAGATAACAGCCAGCGACCCATGAAACTCGACAACCGCAACTCGCAGCAACTTCATCAGCTTCTCCTCCTTCGGTAAACGGATAAGATCAGCACAAAACATCTCGTTAGAAAAGTCGAACGACAGAATAGTAACACCACCACCCCTCCAAAAAGCATTAACCACCCAATAGAGAAAACCGTTAACGCATATTGACGAGCTTCCTAAATCTGTTAGGGTCCTGGTACCGTAAGGATACCGAATCTCCTTCCACGAACCGGTTCTGAGCGACAACACCTCTGCGTAGACTTCCATGGCGGGATTGTCGTCATTCATCCAACATCTGAGCGCCTTATAGTCACCGGATAAAGGATCAAACCCAAAGCCGCTGAGCCACTCGTTGTTCGTAGTTGGGAAAACCGAGGGGTAACAGCCGACGGGCCTCGATGCCGCCATGTCCCACAGAAGGTCATATGGATGAGGATTTTGTGCGCATAGCACCCAGATGTAGGAGTCGCAGCTTCCCATAACGGGGTAGCCGGAAAACTCATGGACAGTGTAGTTTTCGACTCTGATTAAAGACGACAAGTTGTGAGGAAAATCATCATCGTCGTCCGGCACTAACCTGAAAGTGAAAGAACTGTTTTTGTTGTTTTCGGTTGTTATTACAGAGTAATCCTTGTTTCCGTTGCGAGCGTGACTGACGAGGAACATCAGATTGCTCGTCGAATCTCGGCGTCTAGCATTAGCGGATTGGACCGGCTTCGAAACGCCGTTGGCAGGTGGATTGGTACAGTAGGAAAGGCGTTGGAAAACGCTAATCCGCCTTGTCTTTCTCGAGGAATTGGTGGTGCTTGAGAGGGATCTCATGGCTCTCTTAGCTGAACACGAAGAAGAAAAACGAACGCGATATACGAATCCCTAATTACTTCTCTCAACAGGAATCAACTAAGAACATATCTGTGAATTGGGGGTATTTAAAGTTTAAACAAACTATAGCGTAATGACACGATTCCTAGTTCAACCTAGTCCAACTCCGAAAAGGAAAATCAAGTTTTTCTAAATCAAAAGAACGTACAATTTCTTCCCAATATCAACGGGTACAACAAAAACTTGGACTACATTTATCAACTCTCAATCCAACTTAACCTAATAATTAAAAATTAATACAAAAGACTGCAAACACTATTCTAATAATATGTTATACATCCTTGATTCATCCTTTCCTACTAGACGTTAGCCCACAAAACACCAATATACACTAAACTCCTGTAGCGCCCCGAACTCGTGCCATTCATTTTATGCATATTTAGTATTTCTCATGATAAATTAATTAATGTTAATGTTAATGTTATTTTATTTTATTATTGAGCTCGATTTTTATGTATTGATTAAGTGAGTGTCTACACTCGTTAATTATAAATATTGATAATTGGAAAAATTATTTAGATGTCCTCATTTATTTAATTTTCCTAAGTATTAAATAGTCATAATATTAATATAATTTTTATTATATTAATGGGATAGATTAATTTATTAATTAAAACCTTAGCAGTAATTAGCAGAAGTATTAATCTAAGATTTTGAGCACCAAAATCGGCCCTAAGGAGAGAAAAAACGTGAGGTGTGAGAAAAGATAAGAGAGAAAAATCTTGTCTTGATCACCAAGCCAAAAAGAATCCCACACACATGGAAAATAGGAATCCTTTTCCTAATCCAAGTCTTAGGAATCCTTTTCCTAATCCAAGTCTTATAAACCTAGCTGTATAAATATATCTCTTCCCTCATGGGATTTATTTTTCCCTACGCTAATTATTTCACAAGATCCAAAAATCTCATCTTCAAAAAAAAAAAAGGGAACGCACGCTCGCAACAAAAAAAAAAAAAGAAGAGAAAAACTACATCCCTTCACACGTTCAAGCCTACCGCCAAGAGCCCGAGCTTTTTCACGAGTCATTCTTTTCTTCTTTTTCCCGAGCACGGTAAACCCTCTTTTCGATTCTTGGGCTGAATTTAATGTTCATAATCTTAATAAATCATGATAAGATATGTAAAATAACTAGAGAATTATATAAGATTCAATGATTTTCTTTTATATTTAATGAAAGACCAAGTTGGATCTTGGACAATTTGATAATTTTAAAGTATGTTTAATGTCTAAGAAGTTGATAATAAAGCTTGCTTAATGAAAATTATGTGTCATGTTGAATTGAATGATTATTGATGATGATCTATTGAAGTTGTGCCTGAAATTTCTGTTTCGTGGCCTCTGTTGTGAGCCGTTTTTGGCGACCAAGAACTCGTTTCTTGGGAATGTGTTCTTCAGATGATATGTGGAAAATTGTGTATGGTTTCAGTAGGCTTTGGAATTTTGGAAATCGGAGTTCATATGGATTTTATATGATTTTTACAAGTCAGTTATGTGCCCAGTTTTTATGAAGTTAGGACTCAGAATATACCTTTAATGTATGACTGACTTTGATGTGTCAAACATGCTCAAATGTGAAAATGGTCTTCATGAGATATGTAGCCATATGTGTGTAGTTTCTGTAAGCTCTGGAATTTCATTATTTTATGACCTATAGCTCGAGATACATGAAAATTACTGAGTCTCTGTATGTAATATAAGTTGATTTCTGGCAGTTTATATAATCTGAATGTTTCAAGATGAAACTCGATGATAATATCATTATTTGCCAATTTGGTCTTTAGGAAAGTTTTAGATAATTAAGTTGGCTATCTTGTGGTTTTTGAATCTTATGAAAATCATGTCTGTAGCTTCATTTATCTTGCAATTACTGAAGTCCTGTCAGCTGTTTTACTTCAATCGTTGACTGCGTCTATGAATTTGATGGTTGTTATATTATGTGCATTTAAATGACGTTATCTGTTTGAGTTGTCATCATGAAAGTTGTAGAGTCATGAGTTAGGGATAATTTCCAATTAGAATAATCATGATATGACCTATGGACTGAAAGTTACATGCATTCTAAGTTCATCGCGCATGCTGAAAATTGTATAAGCTCATGTTTGGAATTCCAAATTTGATTGTTATTGTTTAAAGACATGTTTATGTGGCATAACTGATCCATGTCATGCTATTTGAAGTTTATATGATCCTTCAATTCCCTATGTGATAAAATTTAAGCAAGTTAAGTTATCAACCAATCGAAAAGACTTAAACATAAACAAACGTTTTCAAAGTATGCAAGCAAGGCGAAGCCGAGCAAGCAAGTTTTCAAAGTTCACGTATATGTATAAGAGTAAGTATGAGTTTAAGTTAAGCCATGATAAGATTCTAAGACATGCCCCAATGAATGTAGTTATCGAGGAGTCGAGCCCTCAGGTTCTTTCAAGTTCAAGCCTTTAAGTCGAGCATTCCAAAAAAAAAGGTGGGGGAAGTTCTACGTTATTTATCCTTTTTGATTATCTATGTTTTGAATGAAGTTAAGTAGCTTGCATAGTACCCATGTTTATACAATGTTCCAACATTCGAGCAAGTCGCTTGTTGCAGTACCAAGGTTCACGGATTATAACTCTAGAGGGTGGCTAGATGCTAGGGTTAGAGTATGTAAGTGCGTGCATGTAACCTTCGTTGGTGCACACTTCGAACGGTTGTCCCCGTCGATAAGACTGTACGGAGCCATGATGAGGGCTGTCTTCCTTCAACCCCACGGGTGGTACTCTCGTCAAGCCTAGTTGGCCGTGCCGCGAGAGGCAATGTTCTCCCACCACCATAAAGTGGTATAAGGAGTTTGACGAGGGGTGGGAGTGTGACGATAGTGTACTCACGTGCGTGCTATGACTTTAGTGTTTAGTTGTCTAATAGGGTTGTAGTAGCAAGAAAGTCTTTCGACTTGTGGGCAACCACTCGCCGGGAGCTCATGATTATGTTGAGTATACCTAATGATTTCATGCATGATAGTTGGTTAGGATGGTAACTTAGAAGGATCTCTCACTGAGTAAGTGGAAATGCTCACACCCTATTTGTTTTCCACACCCAGGTATATGGCGAGCTGGCATTGGAGCGATGGCGAGGGTGGTCACATAGTCATAGAATTATAATATGATTCGAGTTTCTACGTTTCCGCAATTAGTTATGTTTTTATGGAATATTCATGTTTAAAGCAAAGTGTATGTCATCGATATGCAAAGTTCAATGTTAAGCCAAGGTCACATGTAAGCCCTCAAGGCATTGCCATGGAAAGTTTATCTTTTATGTCTAATGTTTTCAAAGTAAGACAAAGTCATGAGTTGTTCGCGAAATGTAAGTTAAGTTTCAAATGCAAGTAAGTTTATTTTAGTAACGCCCTAAGTTTAAGTAAAGATTTCCAAGTATTGTTTCAAAGAAAAATTTACTCTGAATTTTCAATTGATTTCAACGTACGAAAAGTGGGGCGTTACAGTTTGGTATCAGAGCGGGTTTTTACGTTTCTGTAGACCCGTAAAACTTTTCTAAAATGTTTCCAAACGAGGTCGACCACTCGCCACCGTCGCGCCATGCCAACTCCGAGGTATGTTATTTTGAGTTAAAGTTATTATTATGCGCATAATAGAATAGCATGAGTTGGGGCTTAAGATTCTATCCACAAGAAAAGTCGAACCCTAGAGATGATCAAACGTAGTGAGCGTAGAAGCAAATGATTAACTCTAGTACCCTTCAGAAATGGCGAGAGGACAGAATGTGGTTCCACCAGCTACCGGCATGGATCAGGCTAAGATGATGGGACATTTCCGGAGGATGGATCCACCCATATTCACTGGAAAGGAAGGACCGGCCCACGTAGATGAGTGGTTTATGGCGATGGAAGACATCTTCGAGGTTTTGGGTTGCTCGAACGAACAGAAGATAACATGCGGTCAATACCAACTAAGGGAGGATGCTAAGAGGTGGTGGACCACCTACTGGAGGACGAAGCCCGCGGCTACTCGTGCGGCACTTACTTGGAATCAACTTAAGGTCATTATGACGGACAAGTACTATCCTCAGCACTACACCGAACAACTGGAGCAAGATTTCTGGAACCTGACTCAAGGAAGCATGACGGTGGATGACTACGAAAGGGAGTTCACTAGGCTGAGCTACTTCGTGGAGAGCTTGGTGGACACGGATGATAAACGAGCTAAGAGGTTTAGAGGGGGTTTGAAGCCTTCCATCCGACACTTGGTGGCGAGCCACGGAAACCTGCCCTATGCGGAAACCGTGGACAGGGCACAACAAATTGAGGCAAGCTTCAGACTGGAAAGGGAAGCCACTCAGGTCGTGGAGACTCAATCTTTGGGCAACAACAAGAAAAGGAAGCTAGAACAACCGAAGAAAAGGGAAGAAGGTGGCCAGGCTCTTCAACCCCAACCGATGCGGCAAGTGCTCGCTGGGGATAGGCTGGATTGCAACAGATGTGGTAAGAGGCATCGGGGTGAGTGTCTACTGGGGCAAAACGTCTGTTTTCGTTGTAAGAAACCCGGACACGTGAGGGCAAACTGTCCGGGGATCGATCAACCACCACCACCACCACAGCAGAACGTGCCTCCGACAAGACAATGGAGACTAGGGGAAGGAGGTCCCGCAAGAGTCTACAAGATGACCGGGAATGAGGAGGAAGCCAAGAAGAAGGAGCCGGCGTGATTGTCTATTCGCCGTCTGGATTTTTCTTTTTTTTTAGGATTTTAAACTATTGCTTTTGATTGCATTCGGATGTTTGTTTTTCTTTTATTTTCACTGGTTGGATATTTTCAAAATATTTAGATTGAGACCCTGCAAGTTTTTCTGAATGGATGTTTTTATTTTTTTTATTGTGTCTCGTAAGTTATGGATATATGTGGTGGTTTGGATTGTGTTGAATAGATGGTGGCTATGGTATACAACAAGG